CCCCCGCAGGCATCAACTATACTGTTTTAAGTTGTGAGGGTGTCTATTTAAGAACCAACACTTTGACGATAAGGAACAAATTCCCAATAGTTACCACTTCAGTGTTCTGACCCGTACTGTGCAAATTGTCGAGCTAGGTCATTTGCAACGATTTGCTTTGCCTTGGCCATTTGGGGGCTGCCTGTGGCCACCCGCTCTGCTTGGGACAAGGTGGCCCAAGAGAAGTGTTTCCCCAGACAGCTGGTGGTTCAGCGGCATCGGCCGCGGAAGGGCTCTTCAGGTGGTGTCATCAAGGTCCATATTACTGAGACTTTTGCATTGAACCATGCCAAATTTGCAGCTTTCTTGCGGGAAAACCTACAAGCAGCCAAGCTAGCGCTGGTGGAGAGTCGGGCAGGCTTAGAGAAGGCGCGGCGGAAGCCAGTCTTGCTGCATTCTTTGGACGACGCTTTCCAGCTTGCCCTTCGCTTGGATATGCGTTTTTTTTTGGGGGGGGGGCTGGGTTTTGGGCTGCTGCTGTTCCTCGAATCGGCGGCAATTCTAGTCGACCCACGTTTTCCTGAGTTTTTTTCCCCAGTGACTGGTTGTGCCAAACACATGCGGAGGTACGAGCACTCAAGGTGGTCGACCGGCCCCGTGGTGTCGGCTGCGTCCTCCTGTCGTAGCGGCTTTCTCGGGGTCATTTTTTTTTGCGCGGCTTAGCCGTGCTGGGGGTCGTTGGGCTGTGACCACAGCCCGAGTCTGTGAAGAAGGGGTTGCTTTGCAAAAGAAGGCTGTGGCGACACGGAATCTTGGTACTCCGACTTGCGCTCTTCCACTTTTTTGGTAGCGTTCCCGCTTATATACATATATTTCTTGGAACTGCGCTCCCGAACCATATACTTCTTGGAATTGCACTCCCGAACCATAGCTGCAGCATTTCCGAAGGGCCGCGTTGCTTTGACCATCTGTGACCATGTCCGTCGCCGCCGCCCAGCGCCGGCACAAAATGTATGGCCAGCTCCGCGAGGCAAGGCAGGCTTTTCTCTCAGAACACGGCCTTGGCTCTGGCGGTGCTTGGACGCGGCAGACGCACCGCATAGCCACTGATTGCAGTGGGCTAGAAGCACCGATCATCACGGCAAAAGACATGGGTCTTGCTGTTGAACATTTGTTTCCTGGCTTGCTTGGTAAGAAGGTTTTTGCATTTCTCTGAGGGACTTCGAAAGGTTTTTTTTCCACTTATTATGTATGCGCATGTTTCCACCACGTCCGGTCCCAGCCTGAGCGGCGGGCAACAAACATGAGGTTCTCGAGTGAAATATGCCCTTTCGCGCAGCAGTGGATCGGCGACAACTTTCGGCCAAAGACTTTCTACAAGGACATGTTGCAGAGAGACATGGACATGCTGCCGGACAAGTGCGGGGGGGTACGTGGTGGGGTTTCCGTGTCAACCATGGTCGTTTTTGAATTCCCGCAACCGGGCTTGGCGGGATCCTCGAGCGAAGGTCGTCGCTTGCATGCTGGCTAGTTTTGTTCGTATGCAGCCTAAGTGGGGGCTGTTCGAAAACGTGTTTGGACTCCGTCGCTACTTTGCAAAGTTCTTCAACCTGTGCCGTCGGCACGGAATCTTAGCAGACTACCATGTGCTTGTGCTTCCGCTGTGCCCTCACCAGATCCTGCAAGAGCCGATTCGAAGAAAAAGGCTTTTCATATGCCTGATTCGAAAAGACTTGGCCATCACTGCGGACCAGGCACTTTTGAGGGGGTTGGTGGAGAGGCTGGTGCAAGCAGCTGCGCGAACTTCTTCCCATGTGCCTTTGCAAGGCCTGCTCCAACACAGTCGCCCCACAGCGGCCGCGGAGTTCACGGACAGAGTCCGGGGCATCATCCAGCAGGAGGTCAAGAAGTACAAGGTGGATCCAGCACGGCCACTTGTGTTAGATATCTCACAGTCAGCGGGGAGGGTGCCTCGTGGCTTTGGGGTTGTTCCATGCTTGACGCTGTCCTCAGCCTTGGTGCTCCACAAGCCTGGTCAAGGCTTAGCCCGGATCAGTGGCTTGGACAAACTCGTCCTGCATGGGGTGCCTGTCGAGAAGTATCGGGTGGCCCAGGAGATTGAGGAGAAGCTGCACCGCTTGTGCGGCAATAGCATGCATGTGGCAGTTGTCGGTCTGGCCATGACCGTTTGCTTTGCGCTGATTGATTGGACTCGGACCGCCCAGACCAAGAGCAAGGGTGGAACAAATTCAAAGCCGATCATTTGGCACAATTTCAAGGAGATCCTGGGGACCAAAAAGCCGAGGGCCAAGGCGAAGAAGTCTTTCAAGACAGCGCCCCCAAAGCGCAAGGCGGCAGTGTCCCGCAGGCACAATGCGGGGCTAGGAAAGCAGACGAGTGGCCAAGCCGGCCAGTCCCGGCCGAGGTTGGCAGAGCTTTTGCGGCAGTGACTTTTGTTTTCACGTGGATAGTGGCAGGGCAGTATAGGCAGCATTTTGGGGCAGTGACGTTGGTTTTCACTCAGGGTTGTGCTGGTGATGGATTGCCATCACCGCGCTGGCAAGGATGTCAGCGCATGGGGTGTCACGAAAAGCGCCGGCTGTCAGATTTTGGACAGTGATTTCTATGTGCGCATGTACTGTAGGCTGTGCCATTCCATGCAGTTGGCCCTCCACGATTTGTGCCAAGACAGGTTCTATAGACCCAAGCAAGCCCTCATGGTCCCAAATCTCCAGAAGTATTTCTTGCCCGCTGCTGAGGCCAAAACCAAGTGCTCGGAACCAAAGCCAGCAGAACCGTCGACCGTCGGGTTGGTTTTGGTGGTTGAGTCTTATGGGCCGGGGCCGTTTTCTTGTTGAAATTTCTATGCGGCCCAGGTGAGATCCTACCCGGGATGAAACAAAACTGAAACCTTCCAGGTGAGATCCTACCCGGGATGAAACAAGACCGACCGACGTGCAAGGTGTATTTTGTAACTTCGGGGTGACTGTACGTTCGGGGTGAGTGTCCACCACTTTTGGCAGAGATTGTTTTCTGACACTTCCTGTTTATCCGATTTTGTCTGTCAGACGTACACACTAAACTTCTCCGTGCGGCTGGCCACGACCGAGGCCAGAGACCATGCCCAATGCTCACCGGCAAGGCCGGGGCTCGAAAAGGTCGTCCGCAAGGGGTTCCCAGCTGGCCAGTCGTTCGACGCAATTTTGGAGTCAGGGTTTTTCCCCATGCAGAAACGCACCGGTTGCTCCTGAGCAGTGCCTGCTTCTCGTGTCCGGGCAGTTTGCCCAGACGTTTGGCGGTTTTTTTGTTTTTAGACTTGGAACCTTTCCTCCAGAGTCGTTTACGGTGTTTTTGTCCAGAGCCTGCCGGCCCAGGCACACCACAATGCGAGAGGCGCGCTTCGTGCGTATGTTGCGTAGCTGCTGAGGCAGCTAGCACGACAGTGTTGTCACGAGAGGGGGCACGACAGAGTTCCGCTGAATCATAGGAGTGGGCACGGCACAGGTCGCAAAGCAGCCTCCAGGAATCATGAGAATTGTCGTTTTGTACACGGCACCTCCTGTCCCAATTGTTGGCTCTTCTCAGACGGTGCACTTGTTGTTGGCGGGGTTTTTCTCGCGGGGGCGGATGCCGAAAGCGAAGTCTGAAGAGACTCACCCGGAGGCCTGGTGCGGGCTGGAGATGGAGAAGCGCTTGCTCATTCCATGTGGTTTCCAGATGTTTCCACACGTTTCTAGCGGGTGTTGGTTTGCGCGGCAGAGCTTTGGTTTGGACTACTTTTTCTTTTCCTTCGCACGGCAGGGATTTGGGATTGGGAGTTTTT